TTATAAAAATACATCTGCTTTCAATTTTAGCTGTTCTTATATAGACATGACTAACCTGAAATCTTAATACTTAGTCTTGTGATTCCTGGACTGGAATTGAAGGAAAAAAAAAGAAAGAAAAAGTATTAAGACTTCTAAAGACCATTAGATGCAACAGACATCAGAGGAAGTCAAAATAATATATTAGTTGAAATGTTGTGTTAAAAGCATTAAAGTGAAGACAGTAGTGTAAAAATAGATAATGAAATAAGGCCAAGTTGGCAAGAGAAATGAGTGCTAGTTCAATCTCTAAGAAGGATGTTGGAAATAACAAAGAAATAAATATTTCTTCACTCTACCTAAATTAAATAAGTTTTTTTTAATACTTAGTTTATTGAATTAAACATTCACCAGAAAAAAGATTACAATGACTAAAACAATTGAAATGATAAAAATTAGGTTGTGGCACTGAACAATTCAACATGCCACAACCCGATTTAATACTAAAGTGTTCATACATTTAAACTATAAGGCTAATTTTTTCATCTTGTCAATACACATTCACCATCATAATTCATATGGATGCATTGTATATTTAAAATAGATTAAGTGTCTGATAGAAACCAGTTGGAAAAACAAAGATATCACATTCTCTCAATTGTATTTTTTTTCTCTGATCCAGATTATGATACCTTGGAACTTGCCTGCTAGTTTGCAACTAACATTTGCTGTAGGGGTTTCCTCTACTGACTCATTTCTCTCACTCTCTTACATAACAAGTATTTTAGCAATCTTTCACCTTGACATCATAACCTACTTATGTATATAGATTGTATCTGTTCACCTAGCTATCTACTTATGCCATAGGGTTTTGTCTTTATGAAATAAGGATAAATGAATAAGTAAATAATAATAATAAAAAAAAGAAAAAACAACAACAATGTGTCAAAATTATTAACTTTGCTGTTCCATATGATACAAAAGTGGATTCCAAAGAAACTGAAAAGATTGAAAAATACCAGGATCTGACTAGGGAGTTGAAGAAACTATGGAACATACCTTGAAGTAATTCCTGTAATAGTGGATGTACTTGGAACACCACCTGGACACTTGAAAGAGCACTTTGGAAAATTGGAATTGAAACCAATATTCTAGACCTTTAGAAAATTGCCATTCTTTACTCCGTAAATATTATCCAAAAAGTTGTGAGAAGTCTTGTTGACACCATGTCTCAAGAACAGAATTCCCATTGATTATATCAATAAGCAACACCAATATTATGATAAAAATATGATGGAAGTGGGGATGCTGGTAGTTGGGGGGTATCCTTTTTATTTGACCCCATTTTAAACAGTAATTAAAGTACATTGTTCTGATCATTATTATCAAATATTCTGTCTACTTTGATCCTTAAATTCTGGAATCAGGTTACAGTTTTGAGCGTTTGTTTTAAATCTGAATATCTTTTTCTGAACCCATTATTATTATTATTATTATTATTAGCCTATAATGTAATTTTCCTATTTATCTTTGACACATGATATACTTGAAAGAGCTTAACTATACAAATTTATAAAATATTCTAGTGATAAGTCACAAGCATGTGACTTTCTATTTCTGTTGTCCTACTTTTAGTGGCTTAAAACATTTGTAAGGATAGTGTCAAAAATACCAATATTATTCAAAGAAATGAATCCTTGCATAATTGAGGCATATCAGACATGCACTTAATTACTGGTGTATTTACAAGAGAATTTTCAATGTTTAGTACATTGCACTAAAAAACAAAACAAAGATATTTTTGATTACAGTTTTAACTATTTAAGTAAACCCTTAAGAATACATATTTATATGAAATAATGTAAATTAAATATAGTATAATTGAGTTGTTGATATTGTTAATTATGCTCTGAGATTATATGCTAATTTGAATGTTTTTAAATTGTTAATATTGCTGGATGTTTAATAAGTGTAACAGTTATTTGTATCATACATGAAGTTGGAGAGCAAAGTTAGAATTCTGGCTTTAATTGTGTTCATTTCTCAGTCATGCTTTTGTGAATGGCATGAGTCTATCTCTTCTCCCTTCTAGCTATGGGTTAAAAAGCAGGATAGAGCCCTCTTGCATTGGGTGGTGGTAGACAGGAATCAAAATTAACAGACATGATAGAACATTAGGTTTAGGATAACTGGTTAGGTTTTTTTCGAGGGTGATACAATTATCTAAATTTATCATTAAATAAATGAAAAACATTAGCTCCTATTTTAATGAACCATTAACAAATGGCATTTATGTGTTATGTTTTCTGTCTATCAAACTAAATTTAAAATGTAAGGGAGAATTTAAATGATAAATATACACAAAAAGTTTAGTCACTATGTTGGTCAGGTAATTGTAAATCAAAATGTTAACTTTAAAAACTTAGAATGTGTTATATATATTATATAGAAAAAATGTATAGAAAACCATTCTTAAACTAAAGTATGATAAAAGTTACTCTGAACATGAAAATTAATAACATTTCTGCATAAAATTATTCAAGGTGATTTAACTGAAGTGTCTTATAAAAATAAAGCTGTGATTTTTATAAAAATTACAATAAAATTTGTTTTTGTATTTAATCATTTTTAAAACTAATATTTTATCGTTTTTTTTCTTCTTTTAAATTTATTTCCTAAACATTTATGGTATTTTATCATGCAACTATAAATGATAAGTTATTAAAAAAAAAAAAATACATCTCCATTTTGGGACAATTGAAAAAGATTCTCAGAACTATTAAAGTTGTTTTTGGGACAAAGGTGAAAATTAGTCTGGAGACCTGGTGGCAGCAAGTCTAAAAAAAAAGAAAATTTTGAATTCCAAATCCTGTAGAAGGTAACAGGAAACTACACAAATATTTTTCCCAAGCAATCATACATAGTCACACATTTAAAAAAAATGTATAGCCATGATTGCAGCAAGAAAAATATTAGTGTTATCATAGGTACCTCCACGAAATCACTAAAAAAAAGAGCATAGCTTGATGAAAAAGACGCCAACCTTGCGAAAACAAAAATTTTATTGTCTAAATGCTTATGTTATTTTTTTTTTTAGAGGAAAGACCAAAGGTTTTTTAATTATTTTAAAAAATTTTCCTTCTTTTTAGAACATTCTAAATTTTGATTAAAAAAACCTTGTTTCTATTTGTATCAAGCGAACTAGTAAATAACATAGACAATTTTAGCACGTTTTTTTGGTATGACACACATTAATTTGAAAAATCGTGCAAAAATAGAAATAATTATCGGATGTTAATGAAACTTTCAGGAACTATTCACAGATGATCGAAATTATTATAAATGTTTTTTTTTTTTATGAAAGTCATGGTAGAAATATTTTTTTAAATATTTATTACACCCCCCAACTAATTTTATGAAAACGCTTAGAAATTGATCGCATTGGTTTTAGTGATTACAATAATTAAAAGCACAGGGCTTTGAGGAATGCAAATCATGTTTTTTTTTTGTTTTTAATTGGATACGCAGTACCTGAAAATCAGCTCTGAATTGTAACATACAAAACTCAATAAAACAAAAGATTATTTAATTTCAAATGCTTTTATTTGCTTTTATGAAATATGGACAATATTTTCTAAAAGCAAAAAATTTTTTTCGATGAAAAATGAATTTTAATACAATTATTTGTTATTTCATTAATTATAATAGATTTTACATTTAAGTTGTTGAAATATAAAATTAGTTAAAAGTCAAGATCGGCTTTCATAAGTGTCCTTATGATAGATCTTTTTTAGCGCATTGTAAATTGTATCATTTTGTCTAATCAGAAGATCCCCAGTAATTAAGAAATGTAATTTTGTGCTTATAATCGAGCTGTAATTATAAAATATGGAAGACCAAACAGAATATAATTAAGTTGCATTATTTGAGTTAAGCATTGTTCTCCACTGTTAAGGCCTTTTTACTTTTTATGTAAAACACGTGGAGAGAAGTTAATTTGATTTTTCAATTTCAACTGAGAAGGGTACCTACAAGTATCAGTATCATCTTATGAAATTTATATGATCTTATTTTTATATTAATCTCAGTTACGACATTTTTTCCATAAATGAAATATCAAAATTAATAATAAAATGAATGCAAATACAAATAACAGTAGAATGTAATAAATGTACATAAAATTATAGTATTTTATGTACAATTTGATAAAATTTCATAAGAAAGGTACCTATGAATTAATTAGATACCTTTCTTAAGAAATATGAAATTTAATGTCACTCTTAACAGTTTTATTTTAATTTCTTTAGAATATATTTCCCATAAAGCATCATAAACGTAAAGGTGAAAGCTAAGTACAAAAAAAAAAAAAAATTAGACCACTGAAAGTTTTTGTTAAAAAATAACGGGTAAATAATTTGTTCTCGAAATGTAAATTATTTCACTTTTTTCCTTCCGTAGAACAAATTAGCCTTATGGAATTCAGTAAATATATCATTCATCACATGTCAAGAGACGCGAAAGTTTATGACCTGCTTTGTTTTATTTTCAAATTACATCTTTTTGGCACAAAAAAGCTAAGTTTGGTTCAAGATATTTTAAATAAACATTATAATTTCTGATTTTCTTAAAATAAGTTTTGAAAAAATGATAATTGATATTTAAAAAATTTCAAAGTCAGATTTCCAGTTTTTTTTTTTTATGGAAAAAAATGGTCAATTTTGCTGACTCAAAAAAACTAGATTTTTAACGAAAATTTCGGACGTGCTAGGAACGATTAAAAATGGAAAAAATACCCCAAAAATACTTTGACCTTTCCTCTTAATAATAACAAACATTTAGACGATAAAATTTTGTTTTCGTCAAGTTTGGCGTCTTTTTCATCATGCTATGCTCTTTTTTTTTTAGCGATCTCGTGGAGGTACCTATGTTATCACTTGACTTTTAATATAGGTGTGTTTTAATTATTTTTACTGATTATTTTATAAACATTTTTTTTTTAATTTTCTTTTTTCTTTTAATAGTATCATCGTCCAGGAAGTGATGTTGATATTTTGGAAGAAATGATATTTGGATCTGTGGCAATGGCTTATAAAGGATCTTCTTTGAAGGTGCACATTCTCAGGTTGGTTACTAAATTGCTTTTTGTGTTTTGCTGTGTTGTGCTTAAAACATTTTCAGTTTCCACTCAAGACCACTTCTACAATTCTTTTATATTAATGACATTAATTATACAGTAGATTACAGTTAAAAAGATAATATAACTAATTCTGAGTTGATTTATTTTTTAAGTACTTTCTTTACTGTTTTTTGCTGTTAGATTGAATTGTTTTTAGTGTTTTGAATTTTTTTTTACTTTATTAGTAATATACACAACTCTGAAAAGGAAATTGGATTTTTCTATAGCTTAAATCTTTTTTAATTTAATATCAGCTGTATAAAATGTAGAATCATATTGGTTATATATTCTATCAATCTTATGTTAGAATAAAGCAGTACCCATAATTACCAATTTCATCTATATAAAATCTATTTATCTATTTTTATCTATATACTTGGGCTGAGATAACTCCTGACGCCTTTAATTTTCTTGGTTTTATCATTATTTTAATGTTTACTTCAAAATATATTGTAATATGTGTAAGAAATTAAAAACATTTTTAAATGTTCATAGAAAAGAATTAGAAGATTGTATTATATCAGAATTTTAGAGATGGGGAATTATTATTATATAGTTTTCTATTTGGACTAGTAGACTCATCTTAGTTGTTATTTTCATTATTGTACTCTCTGACTTTTGTGCTTGGTAATCTTAGAATCTTAAACTGAACTCTTTATTTGGTTTAAAATTCTCAGAAGATTATAAAGTATGACAAATATGTGAAGAAGGTCAGGATTCAATGGCTGAAATGTGAGTATAACAATGAAGATGAGTATCCAAATCAAAATGAGAAGAAGTATAATATTGCTTGTATTAAACAGAAACTTTCATCAAAACTTTTTTTTTTTTTTTTTTTTTTTTTTTTTAGAACTTCTGATTAATATTGTAATGTGTAAATTTTCTCAAGTGATTAAATCCAATGAGGTCAACAATTTTCATTAAATGCAGTTTTTCTAATTTGAATCTAAAATAATATCAGTAAAAATATTGTTTAGTTCCTGTTAAATAGGGTTCTATTTCTAATTTCATATTTTAAAAAAAAAAGAAAAAGCTATTGAAGAGTTTGCCCAATTTTATCACTGGTTTATCTTTGCCTTCTGTTGGGTGAGATCATGTCATAATTAAATTAGTAATTCTTTTAACCTATCAACAGCAAAACTAATATTTTTTTTAACTTATACCCAATAGTCTTGAATATGTTATCAGAGAATTATCAAAGAATAAACTAAACTTTCTCTAGTCAAATGCTTTTCTAAATGAATAATAGTCTGTTAAAAGTACTCCTAAAAGATTAAAATAATCATATTTTCATTGAAAAGTTCTGATGTTATCACAAAAGATTTATTCATTGTTTCTCTTTACTCGCTATTTGCAGTTGATTTATGAATTCTAATAGGGTGAGTAAGATCATCATAAAATACCATTATTTAATTACTGTCTTAAATTTTGATGATTAGAGGTATCTTTATATGCGAGAAATAATACAATCCAGTGGATTGTTTTTAAAAATATTTAAGAATATAAAATTTCAGCTTATAATATCTATCCTTTAATTTATTTTATTTTTATTTATAAAAAAAAAAAGTGATCTGTTTTGATGAGGTCAGGTTTTATTAAATGGCAACATAAATTTTCAATTATAAATAAATCCCTAATATAAAACATATTTGATTAGCACAATAATATCCCATGTACTTGAATAAATTATTTTACATGTGCTGCTTGACATTTTATAAACTTTCATCAATCTTTTGTCTAGTAATTTTTGTGAACTGTTTTTATTTTAAAATTACTTGTAGCAGTTTTTATTGCTTTTCAGAAATCTTTGCATGAATATTGTTTTTCATTCTTGTTTACATTGTTTTTCTTTCATTATTCCACATCTACACTGTTGACTTCCAAGTTGTGTTGATTGACTTTTTCCATTAAGAACCTGACTTCTCATGCAGACATTATTTCTAAATTTATCACTAAAGATTACTATTGACAAATTTTCATGTACATTTTTGCCCACTTTACATGTTTCTCTTTATGTATGATATTTACTTAAAAGGTGGTAGTTTGGTTGCTTTATGTCTTTAGCCAATGGCCATAATATTTTGCAACACCAAGCTTCAAATATTTCCTTACTGAGTGATACTTTTTTTTTCTTTGATTATGACATTTTTATATTTCTCATATCCATATGGCATTGTTAAAACCAGATATTTTTCTATCTTGCCAATATTTTTTTTTTTTTTTTTTTGGGAAAATTTGAAAAGAGATAAGTTTCTAAAGTTGAGATCAATTATATCATTCAATAATTTTACAATATCTTGTTTCTCTGTCAAGGTTATATTTTATAACTCATGGCAGTTTTTATATCTATGAAAACAAAATATAAATAATTATACCACTGTATTTATTTTCATCATGATGAACAACCTTGAATTTGCAGAATAAAATCTCTTACCACTAAATAAATTGTAAATATTTCTAGTAAATATTATAAACTGAAATTCATATGGTATACTTATCATATAAATATATTCTTAAATCTTTTACTGATATCAGTTGATTAGTGCATGTTTTATTTTGAAAACATTGACTTGCATAATAAAATCTGACATAGTGTATATTTGTATAATAAAAAATAAAAACTTCACAGAAATGAAACTGGACAATAGAAAGTATCTTACTTATAATGAAATAGCATCACCACTCAATTGTTTCCTTTCAGATGTTAGGGTTGAAGTGTGGGTGTTTATACAAAGTATAATGCCTTTACTTTTTGTGTAGTCATCTATTAATGGGTTAAATCAAACATCGTCTTTGTTGATTCCTCAACTTATGACAAACATCTGCATGCTGTCTAGCCTAATAACTAGTATAACAGTATCAGATAACATTAAAGTCTAAAATACATTTTATAAGTTTAAAACATATGCACACACTCTGTATTAATTTTAACACTTACCTTTGACTCAACTCTACTAACATATGACTTGTTACTGAGTGGATTCTGCTAAAATCACTATGTCCAAAAATAAATAATTTCATAGATTTGGGAACAGATGTGAAGGTTTTAAATACTTCTGTTACTTTGGTGTGTATATGTGTTCTTTACTTTAAAGTCATCATCAGGTAACAGTGATAAAACAAACAGTAAAACATAATAATAATCTGCAAAGAAGTAAATAAACTGAACCTGACAATGTTATTGCTTCAAGAACGTTAATGATTGTCATTATACCAAGGAGTAGATCTTGTTTTTCTTAACAGATACACCTGTTGACCTTTTAATGAACAGAGTAGTGTTTTGAATTGAAACTATTTTAGTCATAAGGTTTAAATTTATTTGTACAGTAATGTTACTTTTGTTGCAGACTTGTTTTTATTTACAAGTAATTTTGTCAACTTCAGCATGCTGAACATTTTTGTTAAAATATCGGTTACATTGAACTACAGTATTAAGACTAAATAACTATAGTTAAAATTGTACCCAAATATTCCTTTCTATCTTTTTAACTTGATTAAACATTAAGATTTTTTTTTATCTTGAATCAAAGAGGAATTGATTTTTTGTTGCTGGGATTGGTGGTCATGGTGGGGCATATGTAACAGATGAGATGTATTAAAGTTTTAAAAAAATGTGTAAAGATATGAGTATCTATTATATTTTTCTTAATATGCATCATACCTGTAATTAACAAAATTTTTAGCTTACTTGATTGTAGGCAAAAATGACTTAATAAAATATAAATTTTTAGTGACATTATCAGCTGCATATTTTGACATTGACAAACAATGTTTAAATATACATAAGTACATCAATAAGTCTGTAGCCAAATGACAGGTATTTATTTTACATTAAAAATATTTTTCAATATATTTTTCTTGTCTGTATTTATAAATTGAACATTATACAATGAAAATTTCAGATCAAAATTCAGTTAATAACTGAGTCAAAGCTTTAGACGTATTGATCCACTCCCATATAATTCTATGCATACTTCATGAAATTTGCATCTTCAACTATAGATAAACTATAGGTTGTCTTGTGAATAGATGTTAGTTAATGTTATTAAACAATTGTAATGTAAACATAAAAAAAAAAATTATAGTAACCGGGGCAATATTTGAACAGTATTAATCTCAAGGAAACTTTATAATTATTTTCTGTTGCAAAAGATGGCATGACTTTGATAAGTGATTCTAAACATTTTGTCATTGAAATCAACTCCTGTCTATTTATGAATTTAGAAAAGTTTTTGTGTTAATGAATATTTTTTTACTGTTTGTCATTGTTTACTTAGTTGCTTCATTGAAGCCTGTTTATTTTACATTTTCTTTCAGATCACCTCATCAACTCATGCTTACCAAAGTCTTCCTACATGAGCATGAAAAAAAAGATTTGGGCAGGTAAGTTTGTTTAATGGTGGCATTGTTAATGTTATTGTTTTATTTTAATTTATTTTTTCAGCTCATATATATATATATATATATATATATATATATTAGGAAAAACTATTCATAGCTGATGCGTTTCATCCTCTAAGGGACTATCAAGTCAGATTTAGTATATATTTTGTTGCATATATTTATATACAAGAGCAAGAACGTCATTGGTTTATCAAGGCTTACATTTGAGAACATTCATGAATATTCATTAGGTGGTTGAAAGGTCAGCGAAAACATGGAGGACACAAAGTGGTATAATTCAAAGTCTGGTAAGACACACACACACACACACTCACAGTGATAGATTAGGCATGAAAAAATAAATTAAAATAAAAGATAGATATATATATATATATATATAGAGAGAGAGAGAGAGAGAGAAAGAGATAATAAAATTTAAATTAGATTCTTTAGGTTGATATTAACAAGTTAATGTGACTCTAATTTTCAATTGTTTAAATATATTTTTGAGACTAGAAAAGAATTGTAATAAAATAGTCATCTTTATTGGTGAATCTTGTAATTCAGGATCTTATTTGATTAAAATAATCTCTAATGGCATTTTAGGTTTTCTGTTGATTGTTATTAGAATCTGTTTTACCTTGTTCTTTCACTTTTAACAAATATGGACAGAAAAGAACTTTTAAAAACAAATGACTATCATAACTAATATCCATGATCTACATTCCACTGGCACTTGAATAAATATATTAAAACACAAAATAGTTGATTTGTCCAACCTGAATTAATGGCATGTACCGAAATGATACAAAAATGAATTCCTGAAATTTTTTACATCTAGATTCAGTGAAGAAAAAAATAATCAAATTGGATGATCACTTGGTGTAAATTAAATAAATATTTAATTTTTGTTTCAATAATTATTGCAATAATAATTCTTCTGTCAGTTTTACATAGATTTCTCATCTGATCCAGTAAGATTTTAAATGCACAATTCCTTTTGCTTTTGAATGAGCTTATAACAACAAAAATTACTTCATGTAATTTCTGTATGATTTTATGTCCCTTTACTGTTTAAATTAGAAGAGGTTGCTCTGAAAGTAATACCTCCTATTTTATTATGTCGGAGGTGAATGGTGGTAGAGGTTAAACTTTTCCACTTAATGATCCATATTTATTTTATTTTTTTGAAACCCTTATACAGATAGCAGTTGAGTGTGACTTTGACAAAATGGCATCTGATATGAAAGTGGATATGAAGTAGAGTATATTATTAAATCCCTCTATTTGGGAAAATTACATCTACTGACATTTATTGATGCTTTCTGAACACTTATGGAGAACAAAGTAGTGAATGTGGGCACAGGCAGTTGGTAATGTTTCAGCAAGGGTGGCACCTATGTGTAGTTGGTGTGGATTTTTAAGAGAAGCATACAGGTTCTTGTTATGCTAATGATGGTGACTATGTAGAAAAAAAATGGAGTTTTGTAGCTAAAATCTTGCTTTATTTGAAGATTGCACACTATTTGCTGTAATTTCCATTGGATATAAATAGGATGCATAATTTTTGAAGTAATCCTTGTGTTTTTATATTTAATAACTGGAAGGAAATAATAAGTAAGAAAATATGTCTATATGTTATTTCTTTATATTGTGGTTTTTGTTTTTGAATTTATCATCTTTTAGTATCTAAAAAAAACAAAACAAAAAAAACAAGACTATTTTAAGAAAAAAATGTTTAGACCATCATTATCAACAACATTTTTTTGTGGATCTTTATAATTTTAATTTTTTGTCTAGCCACTAATCTTTTGTTGCACAAATTTTAAACAACTTTTGATGATTAATACTTCTGTTGGGATTGTATAAAAATCCTTTTCTGTTTCAGTGAAGTGGACAGTGATTCCTATGCTAGTCTCCCACCTCCAGATTTAAGCTCTCTTAAATACAGTAATTCAAAAGGAAATATTGGTGAGCATTTTTTTTTTTTAATTTCATGAAAACGATTTTCTATTTAGCATATGATACCCATTTTTTTTCTATAATATAAATATTTAAAATCATGGGTTTCATATCCTCAATTTTAAGAATATAAAATACAATTAAGATAATAAAAATAAGAATATATTAGTTTATATTTCTGAAGCCTTTGATGTGATCTTGCTTATTATTGTTATAAAAAGAATATCCATTTACAGAAAATGTTATAGCTATTTATTCTCAGTAATTTATTGTATTTTATAGCATATCATATACATTTAGTATTTCATTATTTTATTTTATGTCAGGTGAATGGTAAAGAGGTTGAACCTTTCCATGAATGAACCATATTTTTTTTTTTTTTTTTAATCTTTATACAGATAGCAGTTGAGTGTCACTTTGGCAAAATTAACATCATTTAACATTTGGCTCAAATACACACTAGATATTTGATAGATATGTTAAATTGCATAATCCTACTTTCATAATGTTATATACCACGTATGCTTACAAAAGAATAAACAAAAATGAAATACTGCCTGTGAGGTGGAAAACAAAAAAGACATGTTAAAATATAATTTTGTGTATAGCCAGTATAAAGAATCAGTGCATAATGTCTCTTTGTGAAAGGGAAGCAACCCAGATGATGAGGGTAGTCAGTAGGGCCTGGTTTTGAAGCGTGTGTTGGGTCAGTTGACCAAGGACCACTAGTGAACTCTATGACTGCCTGTCTTGAGTGTTGTGAGCATGACCTTTTAAACAATCACGATGGGTACATGACTCAGCTTTTGCTTTAGCAGCAATGTTCATAATTGGCACAGATATTTAAGTTGTATTTTGCATTTAGGGGAATTTGTATTGTGAGCCAGATGCAATGCTCGCTACTGGACAAAGTAACTATTTTTATGTTTAATTTTGTTATCGTAGATTTCACATATGACTGACAGATTTTAATGTGAAGTAAATCAGAAAGAGATCTAATTTGAAACAGTATAACAGTATGAATAAAAATAAAGCATCTATCAGAACTGGTATTGTTATGTTGTTGACCCTGTAGACTCTCCTGTGGAGTATCAGACCTATAGCCTTTCCATTGAATTCTCTAGCAGTATTGGTCTGTTAAGCTAACTTGATACTAGTCTGCTGCAGCAGGCTCTCAAAATATCCATTAGTGTAATGGCAGTAAACCCAGATTGTTTTGTAATCGACCTTTCTATTCTCATACAAAGTATTTCAGATTCATATAAAGGAAAAAAAAAAAATATTTTAATGTATAAATTATTTAATTTAATAATACTTGTTTTTACATATGATTGTTTTATTTTTATTTAACTATTTTATATGTTTATCTTGTTAATTTATGTGATAATTTAAAAAAAAATTTTCTTGGAGATTAACAATTTACAGTCTACAGAAATTCTATTTTGAAATAGTCACTATCTTATATCAATAATAAATTTTTACAGAAATGATAACACTTCTGTTAGATGTAGAGAATTTTGAAAATAATATTTTTTATAACTTTTTAAGTACAAATATTTAGTTGTGGGTTTTCTAATTTTCCATTCATGTTTTAAATAATTGCCACATTTACAAAGCGATCATTTTTTATCCTCAAAGAAGTTATTTTTCTTATCTTTCATGTTTTACTTATATTCATTGCAAAGTTCAGATGTTAATTTTCAAAATAAGTTTTTGGCATTTTAAAACTTTTCTTCTCACATTGGGATTTTACCAGATGTATTCAATTGTTATATTATTGATGACATATTAGAATCTTACCCATAACAAGAGTGAGATTTAATTTTCACTAACATTTACAAACCATTTCAGGTGGTTAATATAAATAATTTTCTTTTGTATATAATACTTAGTGTGCTTATTGATGTTAATTTTTGAGTTTTTAAACTTGTATTTTTCACTCTTGTTGCTTTCAGCTCATAGCTTACCAATGGACATGCCATTGCGCAACTACGACACTGAGGAGGATAGTGGAATGGCTTCCAGTAAGAACAATTCTTGTTATAAGAACAAACTTATATTTTATTAACACTTACTATTGTGTACTTTATAAATTTTGTATTTAAACTCCTAATATATAAAATAAGATATAATTAGATGCTGTTTATTTATTTAGTATAAAATATTTAATCTCATTTAAATGTAAAAACAAAAAACAAAATCATATCTTTTTGGAAATATGTAATTTCAATATTATTTCTCTGTGTATGTGTGTGTGTGTGTGTGTGTGTATATATATATATATATATATATATATATATATATATATATGAATTCAAGAAGGAAATTCGGATTACCAACACAAAACAGAGAATGTCTCATATCGAGAATATTTAACATTGAACATGAGGAAAAATTAATTATTTTAATAATATGTGGAAATCTCCACTTTTACTTGAAGACTGTCATGAGACCAGAAACACGGTCGTAAAATTATGTAAAACAAAGTATATTTTTCTAAATAAATCCACATTACAACCAAAAAACGTTTATGTAACCTCTCTTCTCTTCTTTTTTAATATACATACTTTTCTCTCATTGGAACCACTACAACATATTTCTTTTATATATATATATATATATATATATATATATATATATATATATATATATATATATAGTTTTTTAAGGTTGATCAATAAACTGAATTTTGATCTTAAATTTTCATTAAATTTATTGTCAACAACTTTATATTATAAAAATACCTGAAACTTTATTATGAATAGATCATTTTAAATAAACTGTTTGGGGACTAGCTAATTTTGATAGCAATAACTATTTGCTACCTTATTCATTATCATATTATTATCAACTTTGTTGTTATTGACATAAAACATAAATGCTCATTAAAATCTAAATGTTTATTACCTGAACAATGGCAACATCTATTTGTGGATTTGGGATGAAAGCCATTTTTTTCCTGTACAGATGTAAACAAAGGGGGCAGCCATTTTTATAAAATGTCTTGAATTTCAGTCTCAAGAATTACATTATGAATTTGAAGATTTTTTTTTAAAGCTGATTTGACAGATAAAGAGAAATATCTCAGTACTTTAAAGCTTACAAACATTAAAATGATGCTCGAAATTACAAAAATGATCAATGGATAATACTGGATGACTTCAATATAAGTCTGATGAGAGAAATTTGAGGAATTTTTCACTGATCTATGTCCTATATCAAGAGAAAAGTTATAAAACTTTTTGAAGCTATGAAATTTTAAGTTAGTGCTGCAGGTAGGAAGTTTTGAAAAAGTACAAAATGCTGGTTTCTAAATCAAGTGGTAAAACACATAAGACTGATCATTAGGTCTATAAAAGATATTCAAAAGGAAACTTAAATGAAATGGGCAACAGAATATATGAAAACCAATTTTCAACTATTCTTTTCACTGATGAAGGCCATATGCTACCCAGGTCAAATAGATGAATCAATGGCTACTGGTGGAAACTGCTCATGCAGGTTGAGATGTTAACAAGGTGCAAATGGTGTTTTGAGATGGCATTATAGGTAGTGAAGTGATGAACCCTAGGTAAATTTTAGATAGTATTAAAATGACAATTCAGATATACATTGATTTTTTTTTTTTTTTTTTTTCCCCCAAGTGCATACATGGAGCCATAGTTCAAGAAGAATCCAAACACTTTCAGAAAGATGATTTTTAGGAATGACATTGCTCCATTGCATTTGGCAAAGAAAACTAATGAATAGTTAAATAAAATGAGTTTTAAAGACACTTGTTTGGTGACGTGGCTTGTCCAATCATAGTCTGATTAAAAATCTGTGGAATATTTTGAAGAGGAAGGTTTATATTGGCAGTCATCTATTATCAATGCTGCACATTTTGAATGCTATTCTGTGCAGTCGTTCATGTAAAGAAATATAGCATTTTCACAAAATCAGTGACTTCTAAAACTAGTTTCAATTTAATGTTGCTTTTATAACTTAGTCATTATAATGACATTGTTTTCAATTTTTATTCAAAACATTTGTCTTTGTAAACTTTACAAATGTTTTTTGTAATTACATTTTTAACTACAGCATAAATGCTTCTTGAATTTTCAGTATTCTGGCTATTAATGGGAAATTTGGAAAATCTAGTAAAATTCATATCACAGTTGTCACAATGTAAGACCGACATGTGGACTATTACTATTTATACGCATTACATGAAATATTCAGCATATTAATAGTTCAAAAATTTCTCTTAATCCCCTCTATTATTTTTCTAAAATTTAGGCAAAATCAAAAGCAGCTAACATAAAATTCCATACATTCATAACTGGACTTTATTTTATTGTATTGTTTTAAGTAAATTCTTTCATGTTTATTGCTTTGTTTTGCATGTGCAGTTACCTCCAGTGATAGTTACACCATGTCATTTCCATCACCGGGGAGCAGTACTGCCAGCAGCTATAACAGTCTTCATCGCCGTTGGATGCGGGCGCAGAAGACCTCACTGGAATCACGGGGAAGGAAAGGATCTCAAGAAGCAGTAGGACCTGATGTAAGAAAGTTTTAATCTTTTCATTTTTTATTTTTATAATTTGTGATTCTTATAATTATAGCTCAATATTTTTTTTTATTTCTTTAATTATTTTTTTATCATATTGTTTCGGGATTGTCTGTTTTAAAACAACTTTCTAAAGCAAACTAATCTAGTTTTGTAGTTTATATATATATATATATATATACAAGAAATACAATTAGCAACTTCAGGAATTTGAAATTTGGCTTCTAACACATGGTATTATTATTGGTTGCAAGCTATATCTATCTTGTACTAAAAGTTTAATAATTTTTTTCTATATGTGTGTATGTAATCTCTAAATAGCAAAATCATTGCACTGTTGCTAAAGGTATAGAATTATGGTATCCATAATATGTATTAAGAAAGAATTAAAAAAAAAATATATATCTGGGTGATTTGTAACTGAATGATATTGTGGGGTCTGTAGTGTGAGGGGCAAGAGAAGAAACGTGGATTAAGTTTTTCAAGGGAACCAAAATAAATTTTGGTAACTTGCAAATGAATGATAATATTGTGGGAGTTTTTATTACTTCAAATGTTATAGTGGATACATCATATTTAAAATAGAAACCCCATTATATATTATTATATCCACTACAATAATTTTTAACATAATAAAAATGTTGGATTAAAAATAAATCCATTAATTCTTTAGAAATTGTGAGAGACTATGTGCTCAATACTGGAGGTGGGTGGAAAAGAAACGTATGCTAATTATAGAGTACTACTCTTTATTTTAGTTTAAAGTTTTATTTAGTTAAAAAATACAGGTGGCGGCATAACTGTCAAGGGAGCAAACTCCTTTCGCCTAATTTTCTCAAATGGTTAAAAGTTTTACCTGTCTTTGCATCTATATATGTTAGATATTATTGACATAAACTGAACTGGTGAGAAGCACTTCATCTAATAATGGAGAAATTTAGTTTTGTGTGTAAAGAGCAAAAACCATCTTAATTTTTGCTCAAATTTATACAAGATTTTTCTGGCGATATAGCTCTAATTTTAAGTTTGAGAAAGAAAAAATACATTGTTTTACTATTTCTTCTCTCTCTTATATATCTTACCTATTTCATAGCAAACATTTTGATTGTATTTTAATGCTTGTATTATTTTCTAAATTATTTTCTTAGGAAAAAAATTGTATATTCTAAAATTAAATCTATAATTTATTTTTTTCTCACACATACTTGAGTTAATTTTGCGTTCATTCTTTACTTATTCTTACACAAATCCTCTCTTCATGTTTGCATATACAGACTTGTATATTATTAATACTATAAATACTTTATTTGTTTTTTATTATTCAGACTTCATCGCTCCCAAGATCAAGGAGACATAAACTTGGCATGGCTGTGTTATTTAACTTATGGAATGATGATGAAAAAAACAGGTTTGTCAATATTTTTTGTAATAACTATTTTAATAAATCTTATTTTTATCAAAATTCTTTAAGAAAATATTTAATAATTTACACAGGATGCTCTACAAATTTGTCCTTGTGCAATAATTATTTAAATCAGAATAAATTACATTTATTTTCTTTAAATAAAAATTATTATGTATATAGCAAAGAATAATTTGCCACATGAGGCTAAATTACAAGAACTTATTTCTAAAAGATGTATTACAAATAAAATTAGAAATTATGTTATGCAAAAAAATCATCCATTTTTATTGAAACTATTCTTAAAGTTTATGTGAAATCCTAGAAATAACATATATTCAATATGCTTATTTGAATGTTTAGAACTGTTGGTTGTCTAGAACTACTAAGACTATTGTGACAATTTTTTAAACTATGCATTGCCTCTGAATGTTCTTTAGTGATTACTGATTTGACAATCATCAGCTATTTCCATTGTTGATGTGTCTGTGTGCTTGATTAGTGAACAGTATTTTTAACACATTCTTCTTTCCTACTTACATATAGGATTCTGATAAACTTCAATGGATTATTAGAAGTAGAACTCACTTGTTAGATAATTACTTAATACATTTTTTTTGTTCCACTCTTGGATGTAGCTATAAAGTTTATGCTTAAATAATAAGTGAAGGGATATTTTTAAATCTCAGTAATAATTTTAGTATTTCAAATTTACTTTGTGATGTATTGTTTTCTGTGTTGATCTTATCAATTTTATTTTTGCTTTTGCATAGTACATTCCTGAGCTTCTTCTTTGCTCACATTCCTCTCTTTGAGGGTCACCTGGAAAAACTAAGCCAAGTTGCTAACCATGCCTTCAATAATAAGAAGTCTTTCATCAGCATTGTAATGGAGGTTAGTATATAGTTTTTCAGTCTCTTTGGAGACTAAAATGTTTACTTATGAAAAATAATTAATATTTAATTTTATGAATGTTTCCAACTGGTGTCTGTTTCCAAAGCATTTTTTTTTTTTTTTTTTTAAAAGTTGTTAAAAAAAAATCAATATGTAGCATGACTTTATAAATAAATTTAACTGAAATAAAATCCTATGTAAAATATAATTTATAAAAATTAATATATTTTAAATAAATTAAAATAGGTATAAATATATAATTATACATCAGTTTACCAAGACACATTCTGTTTTACATTAAAAATATCCTTTGTCATCTGAGTCACACACCCTACACCCTTATTAAAATATTTTTAAAATCTTAATGTCTCATAACTTGAAGTTGGTCCAGTTTGTGATATAGTTATTAGTTGAATTTTGATCTGAAAATTTCACTGTATACTTTTTTGATCAATGTGCTTAACATAGAAACATTGGGCATGCAAAATAACAAGAAAGAATGTGGTTGAAAAATATTGTGTAAAATACATGCTTTTTGTTATCATTAGCCTATGGATTTAATGATGTACCTAGATAAAAATCTTTGACCAATTAGATTTTTAATTTGGACATTTACAAACAAAGTAGATAAATTTATGGTGGATTTTCTTTAATCATCAGTCATAGATTTTAGAGATGTTAATTTTCATCATTTCAGCCAACAAAAATATTAAAAACCTTTTCATCAAATTATGAGATGGTAAAGTTTTAGGTTAAAAATAGCTTGGGAGAATTATCATTTATAGTAATAGTATTACAATAGAAAATTCCTTTAAGTTCTCAACTTCTCATTTGTGTACGAATTTCAACAAAGATGCATAAAAAACTGTATATAATTCAATTCAAAACCAAACTGACATATTAATTATATGAATAAAAAAGTGCTCAATACAATTTCAAATAAGGAAGCTACAGACTAATTTAAAACAAAATTTTGTAGAAACTAACCTTTCCACTATGGTGATTTCACTACCTTCAGTGTTTCTTGGCAGTAAGGTAGAATTTTTATCATATACCTACACTGGCTGTTGGTGAGGGGAGAGAGTGTGAATAATAGAAATACATGCTCTATAAACCATTCTACTCTGGCTTGTAGCTTGCATTTATGCACCATCATCACCTTTGATCTCCCATTTAATAATGTATTTGGTTCAGGAGCCCTCATTATTGCCAACTTTTCCTACTGGTATAACTTAGAAATTCTATTCCATAAGCTAAATGTGTGAATTTTCTTCACTGTCCCCTTCAAACATTGTGATAACAGCAAGAAAAATGGAGGCAATAGACTGGATATAATAATGCTTTTTTTTTAAACCCAAGATACACAATTTCATCTTGTCTTTCTACTTATTTATTTGTGTGGTTACATATATTATATCACATTTCCTGTAGGATTATTTTACTAATCTGACTCAACTCCGTTTTCATTGGTTTAATCAAGCTGAATGATGGGTTACTGACAAAGTTATGCTTATGGCCCTTAACCATTATAAATACATTTCTTCCATTTAATTTTTGCTATTCATGTACATTTGTGGCTAGTCTCTCCTCATGTGTAGTAGTGAGTTAACTGGGAAATATTCTGTTTAATAATAGTAGGATATTCTTATCCTGAGCAGGCAGATATGGTTTTTACATATGGCTGTGTGAATGGTAATGGATGTGAGGCTGCATGGCTGTATCAGATTACGTTTCCAGGACAAAGGCAGCTGAGTCCTTTGAATTTTGCTGCTAGTGCTGAGACAGGATTTGTGGCACTACAAACTATGGATTGAGTACAACCAAGATCCATTTGTATGCTTGACCACAAAGAACACATTCTATGGGCTGTCAGAAACCATCCAGGTATTAGCACACATTAAGTGGCCATAACGTCACACGTCTTATAGTACTGCATGGAGAGTATTTCAATGGCAGCTCCTGTATCTGTATCATTTGCAGCATGTGCAGAGTCTTTTGCTCTCTGATCACTCACCATGAGAGAACTTTTAGATTTATTGCACAAACTGCCGATTTGTTGTTTGTCTCTTCAGTCTTGTTTACAGATGAAACAACATTTAGAAGAGATGGAATAAAAAATTTACACAAGCAACATTTGTGGGCAGATTGGAATCCCCTAAGTACAATACAGGCTAGACACCAGCATCAGTTTATGATTAATGTGTGGGCTGGAATTGTAGGTGACTGCCTGGTAGGTCTACATGATCTCCCAGCACTGTCTACAGGGACTTTATTTTGAACACACTTCCAGACCTGCTAGAGGATATACCCCTGGTAATACGAAGACATATGTGGTTCATGCATGATGGGGCTCCAGCACATTTTAGTCATTGTTCAGGATGCACTGGCTGACATCTACCATGAAAGATGAATAGGTAGGTGAGGACTGGTTCCATGGCCTGCATGTCCCCCTCCCCCCGGACCTCAATACTTTGTTTTTCTTTTTATCTGTGGGGCCACTGAAAACAATTGGTTTATGCAGCAAACATTAATAATACAATGACGCTTCATCAATGTGTCATGAGGGCCTGCACAACCATTTGACACATTTTGGGAGAATTTGAAAGGTCTTGCCAGTCAATGATAGAATGTAAAGTGTCAGGAACCTGCTACCAAAGTTTGTAAAAGTATTTTTGATACATCCTCTGTGTGTGTATATGTAATATATATATATACACACACACACTTTCAGACAGAGTACATATGTAAAGGACATTATAAATAGAGACAAAATGAAAACTTATCTTAGTTGATGCATTTTGTCCTCTGAGGAACTTTATCAAGGCAAATGCAAGGATTTTATTTTGTAACAAAAGTAAAAATGTTCTTGGTTTTTCAAAATTTTTAAATTTAAGAAGGCTCATAAATATTTATCAGATTAGGTGAAAAGTCAGGCAAGCCATCGAGGATGCCAAGTGACACAACTCAATGTCTAATAGACAAAAGTGAATAAGTGATGTTATTGAAATCTTTTTTTTTTTAATTTTTTTTTTAATGGAAATTAGTATTTATTTTATTTTAGTTTGGGATTAATTTATGTGTTATATATTTTAAATAACATGAAATTATGAATTTAACTGTTTTTCTTTAATTTTTTAACATTTTTACAGTCATATATATTGGCTTTGGAAAGGAGTAATTCTTTTAGGGATGGAGATATTGGAAAATGTCCAGGCTGCAGATTTATATTTTGATAAGATTTGATAGCAGCACTCAAGAATGTGTGTGCATGTACATAATATATTTATATAACATGTACAGATACACCATGTGGTATTTCAAAAAGAATAAAATTAAGAAAAAAATTATAATTTACTGCCTGAAGACACTGAAGGTTGTGGAAGAGGAAAGGTTAGTTTTTATAAAATTTCATGTAATATATACACACTATTTTAATGAAGTTAAAAGAATATTTTGATAAATTGTATGAACTTAACATAATTCCAATTAATTTTTCCTTCCCTGAAAATCACAGTAAGTTAGTAATGTGCTATTTTGAGAATTTGGTAGCTAGAATCTCAAGCTATATTTGATGACTGATAATAGTATGATTCCATACTATACTCATTAGAATTTTGAATTTTACTATATTAGTAAAGTTTGATGTTAAAGTGATGGTATAGATATCTGATAAGCTTTATATTTTTTTAGAAACACTACTCAAAGACTCTTGATACCTTGAAATATTTAAGGTATATTGAGTATTATTTAGTAGATTTCAAATGAAGAAAGGAAACTTGCTTAAATGAACAAGCTTTCAACTGTGTTGAAAGCATCTGTTTTGAAAATAAATTTTTGTCTTTTAACTGACCATTTTTTTTCTCAGGGTTTGGAAATATTACGCAATGATTTGTTTGACCTCTACACAGCCCCTCGCCTCCCTGAGCCTGTTTGGCTCAGTATGATGGCTCATAGCAATTACAAGTATGTCCACTGCAATAAATTCATGCAGTTGTTTACAACTCTGGTTGACAAATTTGAGAATAAGGACACCCACTTGTAAGTATTTATACCTATGAAAAACATTCAGATATTTTTCATTTTTCTATCAGATGATTTTTAAAGAAATAGATAAAGAAAAGTTTAAAGATTAATTTTTTTTTCTAAGAATTTTGAAAGTTTATTTATTTTGAAAATTTTGGCTTAGAACAAGGATACTAAGTTTATATAGGAAAGTCTTATTCATATAGCTGTCTTGTTATAATTCAAATTTAAATACACAACAGTATTATTTGGAAAAAGAAATGTCTCATTAAAAGAATTACAAATGTTAAAGAATGGGAAGGAAAGTGTAGTTAGAATTTTAAAGATTTTTACCTGTATATTTCAGTAGTAATAGTATGCTTGGTATGTCATATACCTGTTTACATCCAGGTCAGGTTTGAACAAGACCAGTTCACATTTATGTTTACTTAATGTAGCAAAAAAAAAAAAGCCATTAAATAAACAAGTAATATTAGTGATAATATAAGACTTTTCATGGTAAGGGACAATATATAAGCTTGAAAGGTTTTCTTAGTGATACTGTTTTACTTTATTACATAAATTAATCAAATTTTTTTCCCCAAGTTAATAAAAAAATCCTATTTCACTGGAAACAAACAAAAAAACAAAAAAAAAGAAACTAAAATCCTACAGATTTTACATGTGAAATTGTAGATTCTGAAGTTTTAGCTTAGAGAAAGAAAATAAATCTAATTCAAAGTAATATGAAGAACTCTTTTTCTAAGTCTAATATTTTTAAATCCCACAAAATAATTAAAATGCTTTTTGAAAATTAATGTGGAACATTACTGAAAGAAATACTCTTAATCCACAATTTTTATTGTAGCTTTGTAAGTACAGTGATCAGTGCTGTACTAACTTATCATTTAGCATGGGTTCCAACTGTTACTCCAACTGGTGGTGCTACGTCAAAGAAGTATATGGATAAACACTCAGCCAAATGGGTAAGATTTTCTACCTTGTACGCTTTGAGTTTTTAAAAAAATCATCACTCAACTCTCCATCTCTCTCTCTCTCTCTCACCCACACCCACACAGAGGTTTTATTAAGCAAGTCCATTGTTTCACAATAAAATTGGTATTAACCAAATGATGTTACAATTTCTAGTATATATTTGATAAATATATCATGCGAATTTCAGCTTGTTTTATTAAAAATAATTACACTAACTTATTTGGTATCAGACTTTGTACAATTGGAGAGTTGTTCAATATATTGTAAGTCATTATATATATTATAGTTATTGATATTTATTAATTTTATTTTTATATATATATATATATATATATATATATATATATATATATAGCCATGAGTCATAAGATATAAGCTCAAAAGTGATATATAACCCTTTTACCACCGCTTACATCCAGTGGTGTAACTATGTTTAATGCTTTGGTCTTCAGGGTTTTAGGACAACATTTTAACCAAAGGGCTAACTCTGCACTAGTCTAAGCTGGTTATTGGTTGCTGGCCGATTCAATCCATACCAACTCTGCCCACATTTTGTTCTTGATCTCAGAGCAGTGGAAGATCAACTGTTGTAGTAATCAAAGTGCTTGTTCGAGCTGTGGTGGGTACTATATTAAGAGAAGAAATAACTTCACAACAAAAAATAAAAAATGAAAGATTTGTTGGGCTAATCTTTAATTGGTTTATGTAGTTCTTGCTACAACAAAAATTAACACGTCCTGCATCAATCTCCAAAGTGACACAGAACCTCATCAAAGTTTTGGATGTCAGTAATGGCCTGGATCTCACCAACAAATTTGGAAACTCTTATCAGAACTTCAGTTAGTTTTCTGAGCTGCCATACCTTTGTAATTCTCATTAGACTCATTCAACTCTTTCCAAATCCTATGCACATCCTCTTGACACCCAAACACTCTGAAATGTTTGTATTGGAGCTTCCTGCATGAATGCCAAATAGTACATGCCATTACCAAATTTCTGGCAGAGTGAATTGTATCATGTTGCTCTTTTTCTCACAGACAGTACCCAATTGACCCTACTCTACTGTGCAGTCAATTTATAGCTATTATCATAAAATATACATTACACTTTTGTTTGTATACACAGTTATTATGACTTACTATTTAGTTATGTTTTTTTTGTTTCTTTTTTAACAGCTGGATGCATTAGCAAAAACACATCCTTACAATCCACTCTGGGCTCAGTTAGGGTAAGTTTGTGGTCTTGCTTCAGTTTTCAACACTTTAGTTATCTTTAGTTTAACTATGTTTCTATTTTAACTCAGATCAGACCTCTTTGACTAAACTTTTATTATAACATGTTCCTATCTTAGAGCCAAGCTCAACAGAATACAGTACTTTTGTATTGTCTTCTCTGTTGAAGAAGAAAAGTTTAAACTTGCTATTCATGGAAATAATGAGTTCATTATATAATCATTCTTTAAATTATCTCTCTTGAAAATGAAAAAAAAAAACAAGAATTCTATTAGATTGAAGAATTTTTTACATGTATTTTAAGAATTAAAAAAAAAAGAATTATGAAATGAAAATCTTCATGTACTACACTTAATACTTTAAATCAGTGGTTCTGAAATGGTGTGCCTCGTATGCGGAAGAGGATAGCAGGTGAGGTGGAATGATTGAAAGACAATCGAAGATTTAGAAACAGTTTCAAAAAATTCATATGCCAAAAATAAATATGATTTCAAAATTTAAAATATCATTATGGATTGTAATTGCATGCATGAGTCCCAGTATAAATAGTTAAAAATAGTTATTGACCGATTTTATCATTGTGATATTTTTGCATTAAGTATTAAGAATATAGTAACTAGGCTCCACAAATTGGAGGAGAGAGTTAACAATGATAATGTTCAGACTTTGAATCTGCGGTTATTTCCCTTTAGCCCGCTCTGTTTTTTATTTTTAAATGTACTTTTTATCACATAAACTTTGGTGAGGTGTGAGCAAATTTTCATTCCAAAAATGTGGCCCAGAAAAAAAATTTGAGAACTACTGTTTTAGATAGCAGGAATAGAATTTCTATTTGTATCTATTTTTGGCTTAATCATTAGCATTGTTCTTGGATTAAATAAATAAAAAAAGAAAAAAAGAAATACAAGGTTCTAATTTTGGTATTGATTAAAGGGAACTTCTAGAAAAGAAAAAGAAAATTGAATTTTTACAAAGGAGAAAGACATTCTTAAATTTACCACTTTTTAAAAAAATTTTATCATTAAATTTTGCAATATTTATTTGTACTTGTCTTGTATATAAACACACTGTCTTTTTTCCTTTTGCAGAGATTTGTATGGTAGTATAGGGAATCCGTTGAGACTTTCTCGGACAATAGTAACTGGTAAGAAATCTGATCTAGTGTCAAAACTTTTACATATATTGAGTTATTTCATCCGTTGCAGTGAAGTCCATGAAAATACTGAACTTGGGAATGTATCTTTGGCACTGGATGGTGTGTCATTTGAGGATTCATCAACTGAGTGTGAACGGACATTGAGTGACATCATCTCAATGGATAGGGAGTCTGTGTTGGAGACTCACATGAACTTACTTAACGATTTCCGATGCTCAGACACGGAGAAGAGTGAAGCCAGCTTATTTCAGACAATAGACAAAAACTACAGTATCCCAAAGAGTAATGAGTCTCAGTTATGTGAAAGCAATTTTCATGTTGGGCAGGCAACATCATTAGACTCTCACACAGACATGCTGGCCATGACAAGTGGCTCCAATGATGTCTCTGCTCTCTGCCCGAACCCTAAGAAAAGCCGCTCGAAACTATCTGAGCAGTTAGCTCAGCATGACTTCAAGCAGTTTGCCTCAAAGTCCACACCATCAATCAGTGATATCCAAAAAATATTTTTGAAAGAAGGAAGCAGCAACCTCTTGGACAAGTATTTTAATGAAAATGGCACTGAAAGTAAAACCACTGATGATATTGCTGAAGGTACTGGACAAAGTTTACCCCTGGTGGATGTTTGGAGTACCAGTACTTCCACCTCAACATCTGTGATAACTACCTCCTCGACATTTCCAGGCGATGAGGACCCCCTCCAAGAAAGTCAGCCATCATTATCAACGACAAGTTCAAAGACTTCACTGTCCACCAACCAGTCAACGTCAAACAGCACTGCTACTAAAGTCACATTAGCACGATCAGTGTAAGTAAATTCTTACCATTATGGTCTTTGTTTTTTGTTATTTATTTGTTGAGCAATTTACAAATGTAAGAAATTAAGGATAGATGTTAAATTAGGTTTTCTATCACTATGGATGATGATCTATCAATAATAAGAACTCCTTTCATTACACTTCATTTGTTTTTTCCCCTCAATATTCTTACAGATATTATTATTTTCTTTGATTTTTAATCAGCTACATATATTTCTATCTTTTTAATTATTTTCTGATAAAATTTTGATTCTGGGAGCAATATTTTAGTTGCTACATGTTTACATTACTGAAAGAAAATCTAATTATGTTAGCAGTAAATATTCATTTGAAGTAATATTTCAGATTTATCCTGTGTATCCACTTACCCAACTGAATTGCATACCAGATATTCTTTAGATATAGGAGGCAGATTAAAAAAGAATGTAGATTACAAATATAGCTTTGTAAAAGTTCTCATTTATATGGTATCTTCATTTTAATATTTTAAAGATGTGTTCCATTCTCAAAAGGTGGAGGGAAAGGTTTCGTTGAGATGAAGTTGCAGGTAACCTATCTGCATTAAATTGTAATTTAAAAAAAAATATCTAATCAAATGCATTTTTAATATAAGTAAATATTTATTTTCTCCTTTTTAGATCCAGTTTGTCTGAAGCCAGTCGATCCAGACACCTTTCATCAGCCAGCACATGTAATCATGACGTTGATCTCATTGACCCCCTGCTTACATGTAAGGAGTTGCCTATGCCTAAGTAAGTTGGATAAACATTTCCGCATTTTATTGAATGACTATTCACGGCCTGCAATTAATGGGACACATGGATTTCAGAGAAATTAGCATTTTTCTATTTTTTTTAATTTGTTTACCATAAAATTACTTCCATAATAGCGACAAATGTAAATATACATGGAACAGGATTAGTGATAGAAGGAAGTAGTTTTGTTTTATTCAGTTTGCTTATCAAAGCAGCAAAAGGTAAGACTAATAAATTCAAACCTGAAACTTAAACATTTTCATTTTATTTTTTTAATTTAACTTTTTAAAGTAACTTACTGATTTTCTTTCTAAAATGTGAAGAAAATTTCAAATCTTGACAACCTGGGTGTAATGGAAAGACTAGAATCACTGGTTCTTTTTTAATTAGTTAGCTTTTATTTTAAATAGGTAAGGTCCGTTTCTGGGAGTCCTGGGTAGGACGATAAACTACATCTGGCAGCAAGGCCTCTGACTGGGAGATTGGAGGTTTTGAGAAGCATAGAACTACCTCTTAATTGCTTTTGTTCTCAGGTCCACCCTCACATGGAATGGCAGCACCTGTTAGGGTCCCAGCTATGGGCAAATAGTGAACCCCTAAGCAAAACACTATGAAAATATAAAAGTACATTCTTATAATAAAAATATCAGCAATACAAAATATATATATATATATATATATATATATATATATATATATATATATATAAAATGACCAACAATACATTTTATGTTTATGTTTTTTTTTTTTTTTTTTTTTTCTCAAGTGTTTTACCCCAAGCCAGGCGGGAAGCCACTAGGACGCAAGGGGTTACAGAAAATTTGGAGCAAGATCAGATAGGAGTGATAGAAGAAAGGATGAGGAGAAGGGTAGTGGATAGATCAAGGTAACTGGAGATGTCGATTGACATTACATTTGAATAGCTGAAGATTATAGTTCTCAGGGAAACTGGAATAGGGAAGGGAGTTCCACAGGCAAGAGGTGCGAGACATGAAGCTATTGGAGTAGAAGAGACGGCTACATTTAGGAGTTTCGACAGTGAAAGGGTGAGAGCGGGATGCCAGCCTCGTAGGGCGCTTGAACTCATGAAGTCTGGGAACCAGAAAATGCAGCTCCTCGGAGCAATTGACATGAAAGCATTTGTAAAACAGACAGAGAGAGGCGACGGCGCATCTGTGAGAAAGTGATTGTAGACAAGATGCCAGAGCAGGGCCAATTATATTGCATATCCGCCTCTGGAGCCTATCAAGAACCCCGAGGCAAACAGAAGGGGCTCCAGACCATATATGGCAGCAATAGTCCATGCAAGGGTGAATTGTTGATTTGTAGATCTGGAGGATCGATTCCAGGGAGAAAAATTTCCTGGCGCGGCCCAGGGAGCCAATGTAGTTGAAGGCTTACAATTTTGTTTAAAATATTTAGATTTTGGCATTAAATAATCCATAGAGGTTGATATGCTGCTAAACAAAATCAACCAATCAACCATTCCTGGCTTTAAAAAAGATCCATTATTTTAATTGTTTTCTCGGGTCATTATTTTATCAAAAGAATTAGTTTCTATGAAATAGAAGTAATTTAACTGTCTCTCTCTAGTTCTGGAAATGAACATAAACTCTGAAGTACTAAGACTACTGGGAACAAGGTAGGCTAGTCTCTCATATTTTTGAATATCTATCGTTATTGGTTGTCAAATGTTGTTCACTCCCATGACAAAATAACTAAAATAGTTTTGTGGATTTTGTTCATTACATTGGGTTTATTAAAGAAAGACTGAAAATTGTGTATGTATTTTATTCCATATTTTATAATTTAAGATTATAATAATTGAAATATAAAGAAACAGAAATTGACTCTTATGTGACAAGCAATTGATTAAATAAAAACTTTGATCCCAAAATTGATCTCTTAATTATTTCACAGCTGTACATCATTAGAATGTATCGATTACACGGGCCCTCACAACCATTTCTCTCCAGTCTTCATAACTATCTATTGCACCTAGTAGATCTTCAGGTTGGTGTCCTGCATCTTCATATATTTACTAAATGTATGTTTTTAATGGGCAACTACATCTAGTGTGTCCATGTTTTGGTGCCCACAACTGAATGTTAACAGATAAGCTCATCTTCTTCAGGAAGCCCCTGTTTTTCTCCTCTGAATGACTTGTGAGATGGGAAGTAAATGGCTACAGAACTGCTGCTTTTTCTTTCTCCCTCCTTCTCTTTCTTTCTCCCTCCTTCTCTTTCTTTCTCCCTCCTTCTCTTTCTTTCTCCCTCCTTCTCTTTCTTTCTCCCTCCTTCTCTTTCTTTCTCCCTCCTTCTCTTTCTTTTCACCCCTTCTCTTTCTTTTCACCCTTTTCTTTCTTTTCCCTTCTCTTTCTTTTCACCCCTTCTCTTTCTTTCTCCCTCCTTCTCTTTCTTTTCACCCCTTCTCTTTCTTTCTCCCTCCTTCTCTTTCTTTTCACCCCTTCTCTTTCTTTCTCCCTCCTTCTCTTTCTTTTCACCCCTTCTCTTTCTTTCTCCCTCCTTCTTTCTTTTTTCACCCCTTCTTTTCTTTCTCCCTCCTTCTCTTTCTTTTCACCCCTTCTCTTTCTTTCTCCCTCCTTCTCTTTCTTTTCACCCCTTCTCTTTCTTTTCACCCCTTCTCTTTCTTTATAGATTGTATGTGCCATCTAGTTTCTTTTCTAGTCATTTTTGTCAATGTTCATGCTGTAGAGCAAGACAGTTGCTGTTATAACTTGGAGGAAATCTCATCTTATTTTATCCGATAAAGCAGATTCCAAAACCTTTATCAATGGTAATATTCACATCACTTAATGAAGAGATGTTATTTCCTAGATAGATGGCTTGCCTGATGGGGAATTGATGAAGCTTTGTTAATTAAAGCACATTAGCTCTATTTTGTCTGCAGATTTCCTTTGCTGCTTTCTCTAGACTGTGCAATAGTGATTCAGCTTGTGAAGTTTTATCTGCAAAGAGTGCAAGGTCATTGGCATAATCTGCATCTACAATTGTTTCTGCTAGATATCTTCTGCTTGTAGATTTTCACAGTAGCTGTAACAAGCCCTTTAGATATTGAATAAGGACTAACTTAACAAGTGATGGCAAAAAAATAATGTTGGTTCACTGTGTCGTGCCAAAATATTTTTCTTGTCATAATCTGTTTTTCACATTTATAAATCTACCATTTGTCCATGCATTGAATACTGTTGCCATATCTGGTCTGGTGCTCCTGCTGTGCATTTCAAGATTCTTGACAAACTCTAAAGAATGGTCTGCAATACAATCAATCCTGACCAGGTATCTCGTCTCCAGTCACTTTCTCACTGATGTTACTGGGCTTCCCTCTGCTTGTTCTACAAGTGTTTTCAAGGTAACTGCTTTGGTGAGCTTTTTTTTTCTCTGGTACCCAATTACATGGCAATTATAGCTTAGATGTGACTGCCTTTTCAGTTTTTTTTCTTGCACTTCTCACCTGTAGAACTCCCTTCTGATTTCTTGTTTTCTTGATAACTACAACCTTCAAAAATTTAAATGCAATGTCAATCACCATCTTCTTGAACCCTGTTCTTCTTTTTTTTTTTTTTTTTTTAATCTTTTCTCTATTCGTAGTCTTCTCATTCTCTTTCACTCTCTGTAGCCCTGTGTTCTAGTGGTATTGTCGCCTTGCCTGGAGTGAAATGATTTAAAAAAAAATTAAAATAGAAAATAAATTGTATGTATGTATGTATGCATGCATGCATATATATATATATATATATATATATATATCAGATTCTTAATCATTAATTCTTTTTCAGTTATTTAACTCTTATTATTTGATGTTATAGTCTCTATTACTGCTTATCCCAATGGATGCGGGTTCCTGTATGGCATGTGTCTGGGTTTTTTTTTTTTTTTTTTTTTTTTTTTAAATTTAAAAAAATTTTTTATTTATTTTTTTTTTAGGTGAGTAAGGGGTTACATAGATCCAGACACTCACTCTGAATATCCCTTCTAGGTTCAAATGGAATTATTATTTTTATTTATTTAAAATTTAGATTTAATGAAGTTATTTATCCTATAGACTATATACCCAATCATGGAATGTTTGAATAGGTTTTCTGAGATTTTAGCAAAAACAGTAACAGTTTAACATTTTTGTTCTTATATTTCAGATGCAACACTCAAGGTACAAGAAAAGCTGTCAGTAGTTTTGCCAAGAATTTTGGACGTTCACTTTTTGCTGATTATTCTGACCATTACATGTCAGACTTTGTGTTACATGGTACTTCCTGTACAGAGTTCACTCGAAAGATGAACAAAGACCTCCAACAAGCAGTGCAGGTAAATATCTCTATTTTATGTTAAATGCATATTTATGATAACAGCTCTTCCTGAATCACTAAAGCCAAATAGTGTTTGTTTATTGAATTTCCAGTTGAGAACACTTTTTACATGTAATTAAATCTTAATAGATTGTATGAATTTTCTATGATCTCCAGAACAAACCTTTTTAATTGCCTTATAGAATAATTAAAATTTCATACTACCTCAGTTAAATTGTCCTGTAAGCCATCATTACAGTTTGATTATCAATTAAATGAGATGAAACTCCTCAAATTATACTTTGAACATCGTTTGCTTTTTAGTTCAAGTCTATTTAGTGCTTAAACTATTGTTATTGACATAATTCCATGAAAATATTGTAGAAGTATTTCAGTATAGTTTGGACATTGGACGGATTGGCAAAGAAGAAGGCTACATAATAAATATAATGGTTTTCAATGGTAAAGCTGAATTTGTCTAATAAAGTTTCATAAGCTTCCATTTGGTGTTGTTATTACATTGAAGATATTGCTTCTTTCTGTTCTCCTCTAATCACTTGCATAACTATATAGGTTTGTCAATAACTCTATAGCCTAATGAAGGGAAAAAGCATTTGTTTTATACAATAAATATTTACTTTTCAATATAATCTCCTTATCTATTCACTTAACATAGTGCTTTCTCATAGATAATACAGATTGAACATTATACAGTGAGAGTTTTAGAGCTAATAACTGTAAGGCTATAGACATTGATTTGCCCTCCTAATCAGTTAAGTCTACCATTCGTCCATGCATTAAATATTACTGCCACATCTAGTCTGGTGCTTCTGCAATGTTATTGATCCTGACATTTCAGCTTTAGTCATTTTCCTACTGCCATAACATAGCTTTCCTGTGCTTTTTCTATAAATATTTTCATGGCAACGGTTTTGACTAGCTTTCCTCTTTGGTACCTCAACTTGACAAATTTAATTTCAGTACTAGATGGTTGGCTAGGTCTCATCAATTTAAAATTAAAATTGTTAGATTTAACCATAAGTTCTATACTAAAAGTTTCTTCTCTTGCACTTTTTGCTTATGGAACTATCTTCCAGTTTCTTGCTTTCCAATCAACTTTGATCTTCTTAAATTTAAATGCAATGTCAACTCTTATCTTACATCTTCTTAATACCTGTTCTTTTATTGTTCTCTCTTAATGTTTCTTAGACTCTTTCACCCTTGCTTGGGGTGAAATGATTAAAAATAAAAAAGTATCCTTTAACTTTGCAATAAAGCCTTTTTTTTTTTCTATTCTAGCATTCCATCCTGGATGAACCAATTTCTGAAGCTGTTTGCATTGTAGCTGACACTGATAATTGGTAATAATTTTATAACATTCTCTTAAAGAGAAATTATTTTTTATTTTACTGTTATTCACTAATGGTTTATGTTTAATAACTAAAGTTAATTTAAAAGTAAAATATTAGTACGAATTGACATAACTATGTGATAATTTTCACTTAATTTAATTTCTGCAGATATAAATTCTTAAGTGTAAGTTATAAAAATGAAATTTAAAAACCTGAGCAATACATAAATATCCAATTGATTCTTACTTGCTCATTATGAAACCGATTAATACGTTTGTTAGAAGGACTGAAACTTAGTTTCCACTTGTTGGTTTTATTTTAAAATTTTAGGAGTGTTAATATTGCCAGTAGCTGCCATCTTGATAAATGTCCGCTGCCTTGTTCAGCATCTCGCCTTGTATGTGATATGGTAGAATCAGTGTCTGAGCTCTGGAAATTAAAGATGAGTCCAGAATTTGTAAGTATGCGCTCTTTATTGTATTTTTGTGACAGAATCCATTCATAAAGAACAGCTGTTGATTTCAGACATATTTACCAAATTTTTCCATTTGTCATCAAAACTCATTGCACATTGCAGTGTCTTTTGTGATGTGATCTATTCTGCCTTTTCGGTGGGGTCTACAAAAAGTTAAATCTTTCTACTATCTACATTTGTATGTCATTCTTGGGCAGTTGTAAGCATTTAATGATGGCTTACTCTTAGCATGTCAGAAGATTATATAATCTTTGTTTGAATGAGGAAATAAATATGGTTGATTATTGATTTTTTTTTTTCTTGTTCTTTGACTATTGAGCATGTTAATGATAGGAATAGGTTCTGAAAATCATTTTATAATAATTTATTTACTTATTCTGATTTTTCAAAAAATTAAAAGATTTTATATTGAATGTATTTTTATTATCCATATGAATTCAAATGTAAAATGCAATTGCTTATAAAGACAGGAATTAAATATCTTCATTTTAATTGACATTTTCTATGTTTAATAGAAAAAAAAATTGAAAAATTTGGATTCATATTTACACTGATAATTATCAATTGATTCTAATTTCTTTTTATGCATTTTTGTGACACATTATGACACCCTGGTGTTGAAGTGTTGTTATACAAAACACCCAACCCTTATTTTTATACATAGGAAATTTGACCATGATATGTAAACATTATTTTATGTAAATATTTCATTTTTTATTCTATCTCCATAAATGCAATGTACAAATTAGACATTGATTTCTGTTTAAAATCAAATTGATTAAATAAAGGGTTTAGTTCAGAATTACTTTTAGGGTACCCAGATCAATATACACCTGAAGAAGGTTGAAGGGCACAACAAAGATGAGGACAATAGTCTGAATGTAAATAGCATAGACATTTGATTTCCAGATACTGCTACAAAAGATCTCTCTTAAGCAAAGTTTTGTTGTTTATGTATTTGTGTGTATAAATAGGAGATATGAGAGAGAGAGTGAGTTGTGTGTATAAATGTGATAGATATATATCTGATGAAATCTATTTAACAATTGCAAAATGTGTAATCGCATCAATAAAACAGTTTTCTACTTTGTCAAATTTATCAAAAATTGTTAGATGATATCTTTGGCTTAGATTTAAAAATAAGAACAGCTATTATCTCAGTATCTGCTTTCACTTGTCAATTAGAAATGCCTTGATTAGAAATGAGGTGCACATAAACAGTAGCTTCATCTGCTCTGATAGCCGATACTGTATATTAATTATTAAATGACTGTTGCTCACTGGTTTCAAGCTAGACTGAAAATATAACACATAAGTTGGATCAGTAATTTACCTTCAGTTTTAAAACTATCCTTGTTATATTTGAAACTATTTAACACTGACAATATGATTTGTTTAGCTTTCTCTACCAGACAATTTTAAGGGATGGCAGTAACCATGAAAATATTGTTAACCAGTGATTAGCAGACAAATGTGTTTTTTTAATTAATATTTCAGAACATTATTGAGTGATTCTTGTTGTTTATTTGCAAGAATGCAACCCACAACAAAGAAAAAAGCGAAAGGTTTTTAAATAGAAAATATTTTTATTTTCATGTTTTTACAACTAAATTTTTCTCAACGTGTATGAGTTAAAGTTCCTTGTTTGTAGTTGTTTAAGATAAAAAGAAATGTGATTTCTTTAGGTGTATGGGGGAGAAAAAAAGAGGCAAGATAGAAAGTGAGGAGCAAAGTGTAAGTGTCACATAGCTTGGTGAGGAAGATGGGTTAATAAGTGCCATTGTGAACTGCTGTTGTATGTTGCCATCTCTATCTTCTTACTGACTTGTCTGGTCTATAAACCTTGCTCCTATACTCTTCAAAGGGATCATGAAGCATGTTTTTTTTTATTGTTGGCGGGAATGTGACCTGTTGGTTGAAAAATGTTAAATATTTACTTTCAAAGGATTAATTTATTAACCGGAAGGATGAGTGAATCCTCAGACTTGGAAACCTTGCTGTTTATTTCTGTCTTCACCCAACAATGTGAATAAGTAAAATACTGAGTAGGAATCACACTTTTACTGCAAGCATGTTTACATTTAGATCTTCATCTTTCATGCTACAATTTGAATTGTACACTAATTTGAAAGTCTTTGCCTTTTATTAACTTACTGCTGTGGTTGTTAGCATTTGAAAACAGAAATAAAATAACTAATCACCTAAATGCAAAACCATTGACAACATTAGTCTTTTATTATGTTGCATTTTACATTACCTATTTCTTTTGTCATTACAGTGTATGATGCATCTAGAAGATCGCCTTCAAGAGATTTACTTCAAGAGTATGATGTTGGTAGAATATGCTCATGGTAACAACAAACCTTGCATGAAAGAGCTGACAACAATGCTTGGGTAAGGGCTCTTGTTTTGGTAGACAAATATTGATGCTTAAAAATCTGAAAATTGGTGGCATGATTTAAGAACTTGTCTCCACTATTTTAAATCCTGAAGTTAGTTAAAACACATACTGATTGAAATGTTGAATTTAAAAGAATAGTATATCTAAGGTGACCATTTGTGGTTATAACCAGTGGTGGCATCCTACCAGTTTGCACTAACCAATTCTTAAAATTATAAAAGCTTAGCGAACTGGCTGTTGTATTATCCAAAAATAATCTTAATAACTGATGGTCTAGGTAAAATATTAGTTATGCTATGTTTGCGCCTAGTGAAACTCTAATAAACATTTTGAAGTTAAAAATGTGGCAAATCTTCTAGTCATATATTTGATAGGTCTTCCATTGGATCTTTGGGACTGCAGTGATTCAGTTTGAATGTGGCTAAGAAACCATAACACAGCTGATAACATAAGAGTCAAAAAGCATCATTTCTGAATAGAAATAGAACAGAATTTCAATCTGTGTATATTTTAATAGATAAATGTTTTCTATTATCAAAATGGTTTAATTCTTTTTGATACTATAAAGTTATTTGTTTTCATTCTTAGATTGAAAAAAAACAATAGAATACATTCATAAAGATTACCTGCCTTTATAGAACCAGTTCTTGGAAATTTGGGATTCCACCATTGGTTATAACTCTAGAATAATATATGATTATTATCTTTACATTTGTCCCAATTATTTGTTTTAATTAATAAATTTTAATATAATTAAAGTGCTTTGCTCTATCTAAACCAGCTTTAAACATTTTTAAGTTGGTAGTATAGATTTGTTAATGCACTTGAGCTATTTGTGTTATTTATATTTGTAATTTGGAGGCTTATGGCTCTTTTGTTGAAACTCAGGTTCTCGTACAATCACCAAAGTTAAGCAACATTGAGCCTGGTCACTATCTAGATGGGTGACCACTTGGGAATACTACATGCTGTAATCTTGGATGTGCGTGTGGTGTTATGGATAACGGCTCAGAAATCTGAGAGCCAAATTCCACTTCCAGTTACATACAAAAAAATCCTTGGGAGAGGTATGAATCCACATCTTCTCAGTATCCCCTGCACCCTGTAATGGATAGCGGCTCGGATTGAGGAATTGGAGAGCTGAGTTTGAATTCCATTCGAATCTATTACATTCACTTACATGCTAATACCCTTGGGAAAGGTATGAATCTTCTTCTTCTCCCTCCAGCTATGGATAAATAGCAGGCCAGACTGGGTTCTATAGCCTTGGATAGCAACTGGTCTACCACAGAAAGAAATGGCAACCTACTGCTGGGGAGAAAATCTGCCTCGTCAGTCATGTATCAAAATATACATGATCATCTAAGTGTGTATCAGGCATGGCACATAACTGACTGATCAGTAAATCGTTATGTCCAAAAAATTCTTACAATCTAAAAATATTTTCTGGCTTTAAATAACCTGTAATAGGTTGATAAAGCATAAAAACAAATCAGTCTTGTGACCTGGTGGCACTTATCTCCAGTGAGTAACTTTTCCAGTGTTGTTTTCTCAGTTGACTTCCAGCTTTATCTTTATCTTTGTGTGTGTGTCTGTGCATATTTAGAAGTGAAAATTATGTATGTGTTTTTTCAGTGGCCAAGTGTCAGATTAAACAAATGCACCACCATAAAACTGTTGACATTTTAATCTCTTGGTTATCACTATTATAATCAAACAAAATCAGTGGCATAAAAGCTTGAATGTGGATTATATTCCCAATTACATGGATTTGAAAAATATTTTTTGGTGAAATTAAACAAAATGATCACCAAATTTTTTGTTTGTTTACTAACTAAAATTTATGGCAAAGAATAAATATCATGTGTCTGTCTGCGTTTTGAGTAGTTTGAAATTTTCTGATGATTGAAATGATGATGATGAACAATGAATATTCAGTTTTGCCTGTCCTGGATATGACAACAAACTACATTCGGCAGCAAAGCCTCTGATTGGGAGATTGGAAGTTTTGAGGAACATGGAACCACCTCTTAATTGCTGTTGTTTCCAGATCCAATCTGATCTGGGGTAGTAGCACCTGTTAGGTTCCCAGCTATGTGCAAATACTGAACTCCCAGACTAAAATCAAAACATGAGTTATAAGTAAGATATATTTTTATAATAAAAATTCCAGCAATAGATTTTTATAAAAAAAAAATTACTCACAATACATTTTTATAGTAGAATGACCAACAATACATTTTTATAGTAGAATGACCAACAATACATTTTTATAGTAGAATGACCAACAATACATTTTTATAGTAGAATGACCAACAATACATTTTTATAGTAGAATGACCAACAATACATTTTTATAGTAGAATGACCAACAATACATTTTTATACTAGACTCACCAACAATACATTTTTATACTAGACTCACCAACAATACATTTTTATACTAGACTCACCAACAATACATTTTTATACTAGACTCACCAACAATACATTTTTATACTAGACTCACCAACAATACATTTTTTATACTAGACTCACCAACAATACATTTTTATACTAGACTCACCAACAATACATTTTTATACTAGACTCACCAACAATACATTTTTATACTAGACTCACCAACAATACATTTTTATACTAGACTCACCAACAATACATTTTTATACTAGACTCATCAACAATACATTTTATAGCAAAACTGAAGAGATGACATACATTGTCAAAAAAATTGCAATTATTAATCTCATTTCTTGTAAGGAGAAACAGGCTTTCATTCATCATTTGATTTTGTAAGATTTGGTTAAAAAAATGCAGCTTTAGTAATTATAATTTAATCATGAAATAATGTCATTCTCTTTAATTAATTATAAAGTTTGAATTATATAACCCAAATGGGTTGATATGCTGCTAACCAAAACAGCCAAACTAAATCAGATTTTTGTGTAAAGTTTTCCCAGCATTCTCTTTATCAATGGGGAACATTTCTGCAATCATTTTAACTGATTAGTCTGTCTATTTTTTTCTTTTTTAAATACCTCTTCTGTTTTTGTCATGTACCTAGGCATCTGCATCCATTCATTAAGTTTGATATCCTCTTGAACTTCACTTGAATATTGTGCCTATGACATATATTTTTCCTTTATAAACTTTAGTTACCATATAGATGAACTTGGTAGCCATTTTGTTTGCCACCAAAAATTTCAAATTGATATGTTGATTGATTTTTGAAATTGCTATTATTACAACACCAGAAAAACCTATTTCAAGTAATGGGGACAGAAAACTGATGACACAAGTGTTTGTCTATTGGTCAGTGTATACCATGTGGTTCCTGCATGCTGTGGTCAGGCTCAATATTTAATAACCACACCTTGTATATTACATTTGTTTAAGTAAGTGTATGTATTGAGTAGTGAAAAAATTTCTAGTTGCTAGAATATACATGTAGAAAACTTCACTTTTTCTTGCACAGTTACACAATAGTGAGTTTTCAGTGTAGGTCTTCTCTGTGCCATGTCCCTTCAGAACTTGGGTGATCATGGCTCTCCACAATTTCTTGTCCTTTGTAGATTTTAGTAAAGTTTGTCTTTTTTGCTATATCTCTGAATCTATGTTCTGCTAACCATTTACTCAAGCTCATTATATAGGTCATTTTCTGCTTGTCTTCAATATGTTCTGTGGGTGTTAAATTCTCCAAGTCCTCTTTCTTCATTATGTGCTCCAGATATGTCAACTGTTTTCTGATTCTAAGTATAAGTGCCTTTTTGTTTCCATTTTCCTTGAAACCTCTGCAGTACTCACATGTTCAGTCCATTCTGTAGAACTACATTTATGTTGCTTCAAGTTTTTTCTTCATCTGTGAGGAGATTGTCCAGCATCCACTACCATATAAGAGGACTGATATTATATCAGTTCAGTACTCTTTGATTTTAACAAAATGTTCTTGTTTCTTAATACTCTGATTAACTTTTGGAAAGCCACTTTTTCTATTCCAATGCATCAATGTAGATACATACATACATATATATATTAACTAACTTTCAAAATTATTTACCACACTTGTTTTTATATTATCATTATCATATATTATTGATATTGTTATGTATTTTGTTACAGGTTTGATGCCAGTGACATGACACTATTATTAGCTGTAGCATCTACTCATTCCAGTCAAGCTGTATGAAGGAAGCCTATGTACTTTGGTACTCAGTCTGGTGGGGATATGGCTAGACCGCCAGGCCAGGAAGGTCAGACAGTAGGAGTGGTCAGCTGTTGTTACCCTGCTGTGCTGGACCTCGGAGAAGGTGGAATGTGCTCTTTCAATGGATTTTGGCTACTATTGCTCTCCTGGTTGTACAAAATGCTAAGCAAGCCAACATTCACTATCATCATTGTCAATTAACTATGAAGAATGAGGAAGAAAAGAAAAAAATATTGGCTGTTAAAAATTACAAAAACCAAAAAAAAGAAAATGGTAAAAGAAAGCTTGGCTTTTTTTGCCTCCTGTTAATAGCCGAGTCAGCCAACTTGAATTGTTAAGGGTTATTTGTGTCCACAGACATTTGTGTGTTTAAGAATTATGCTGCATATTATTTTTTTTTATTTTTATTTTTTTTTTTTAAAAGCTAATTTTTTCACCATCACCATAACTAATGACTTTGTTTTTATTTATTTAATTTTTACAGGGGTCTCAAGATAAATGTTAAAATTAAAAAAATGGTTAGTATACCATTGCTTCTTTCATCCACCCACCTTCACAGGCACCAGCTTCAAATACTAAGTTTTGAATATTTAGCATTGACTTATCCAAACTGTTTTGCGGATGATTTTAGTTGATATAAATCACTGACACTTAAATTGTTGAGAAGGCCAATACCTAAGTTGCACATTTTTTCACACAGCATAGCACAATGATATTTAGACGAGCCTGTCATTTGTATTAATAATATGCAATGATTATATAATCAAGATAATAAGACAGCTTTGTTGGAGAAGTTTTAGCTGCCTTGAGTTTTGTGGATTTTGGCTCAACTCTATAACCTATAGGTGTTAGACTCTTCATAATTTTAAAGAATTTCAAAGCAACAAACGGCCATGTTGAAAACAATGGATTAATAACTAGAATGCAATAAGCTCTAGTAACTGAAAACTTGATGTGAAATTTCATTGTTAAGGGACGATCTTATACATTGATGTTTTCATTCTAATGCAATAAAAATAATTAGCACTGGTGGCACCATTTCATTATATATGAAGAAAATATCACCATTTCATTAAATAATTCATATCCATTAAAAAGTATGTTTTTGTTCAAATTGGTTGTTAATTTGGTAATTATTGCGTTATACTAAAATTCTAAAAAACCTGTTTCATAATTTTTTTTTTTTTTAATGGGGAAATGCTGCACATATAATGGTTACTGTAGAGTTTTTCACTATTTATTGTGCTACTGCCACATTTATTGGATTTTGTGAAAATTTGTAAGTTTATGTACTTGGCATTTTTTTTTTTTTTTTTTTTTTTCTGTTATTGATAACATTAGTTTTATTTCATTTTGCCAGCAGACAATCTTCAAATTTTCTCTGTTATTGTAAAAATGATGTCTTGGAAAGACTAATGTTTAATTTTTGTCAAAATGGAATAGATTACACAGCTTTGATTGGTTTGCACTATCATTCTCAAAGTGAATGACAAACGGAATCAAAATATTAGACAAACCTTAATGAAGATTATAACATTAATCTGATTATTTGTCTTCTCTGCAAAATCAGTGATATCCAATTGCTGTAGATAGCAGTTGTGATGAGAATGCTACTACAAACTAATCTTAGTTGCAATGATAGTCCATTCAAAATAAAGAAATTGAGGAAATGGTGTGACTTTTTTAAAAGAAACCATCATAAGTACATATCTTTAATTGTTTTTATTTATTATAAAACTCACTGGCAGCTTTGATGGTACATTTTTTATGC